CCTACAGCACCACACCAGGAGTCCACTCCAGTGTTTGTTGTCGTTGTTATGTGCCGTGGAGTCCGTTCCGACTCACAGCGACCCTGTACAGGGTTTCCGAGGCTGTAAATCTTTACGGGAGCAGAAAGCCTCATCTTTCTCCAGCGGAACAGCTGGTAGTTTCGAACTACTGACGGTGAGGTTCACAGCCCAATTCATAACCACTACGCTACCAGAGCTCCTTCAGTGTTTAGGCACTTGAAATCAAATGCAAAGTGTTTCAAAACAAATAAAAACAAACCAAGCCCATATCTACTTGTTATCAGAAAGTCCATTCCATGCTTATGCTACTGCTTAACTATTCTCACTTGAGTCAAGGACCTAATGAATAACCCTAATGTAGTTCAACTACATTTCTGGCTGAAGTCACTGCCGTGGCAATCTTCTTGGTACCTGGAACACACATATTTATCCATAATGGGTGGTCATTCCTGTCTTCACAGCCCAGAACCAGAAACTCTCCTAGTTTTCAAGCAGCAGCTGCTGTCTTGCAAACTGACCTGGAGAACTCTTGTCAGTAAACTGTGGATGGGCCTCTAGGGAGTTGAGGGCAGGCTCTGGCCAACTGTCAGCAATAAAATGAAGACATCATTTTACAAGTACAAGAAGGCATATTCTGCCAACAGCCTGAGGAAGTTTGGAGGTGGATCTTTCTCCATTTGAGATCTTACTGACACTATAGCCCTAACCTACACTTAGATTTTGGTCTGCTAAGACCCTGGAGCAGGGGGTCTCCAGGCAGTGCAAATGGCTAAGTGCTCAATTACTAGCCAAACAGTTGGCACTTTGATCCCACCCAGAAGTACTTTGGAAAACAGGTCTAGTGATCCGCTTCCAGGTCATAGGCTTGAGAACCCTATGGAACAATTATTGCTCTGTACACATGGGGTCACTATGTATGAGAATCAACTCTGGAGCAAAGAACTCAGCCAAGTCATGCCTCATGGCACAAAACATGAGTGAATAAATGTTTAAAAACAACACAATTGATGATCACTCCTACTTTAATACTTATCTGATATTTGAACTAACATGTTTTACGTAAAAGATAATGGAATGCAGTTCTTCAAAAATTATGCCTGTCTTCTGTTGTTTTAATTGCCTTGACACATAATCGCTTCTTTGGGTTCTTAGTTTTTTCCTCCACAACTCTTAAGTCTGTGAGGAAAACAGTTATGGAAAACTCTTACTTACCTACCCACTGTCTTATTTTCTCTAAATGATCACAAAATGTAAGCTTTTACCTCTGAGACAACTCAAATGATTCTATAAACTCGATTCCCTCACAAGAAGTTAAAAACAGTGGAAAAAGGTATTCCCCTCCCCACACTCCTGGTAGATCATGACTATAAATTTCCACATTTTTATTCTGAGGTAATGGTGAGAACAAAGAATTCGTGCTTCGCAAGAGTACATGGGAGATTAGAAATATTTAACCCAAATTCCTTCAAGTTGCCCTTTTCATGTGATTTTAGCTTAAATTTGCAAACATTATCTTTTTTTTTAACAACACAAAAGGTGACTTATACACCTGGACCTCTCCCGATGAAATACAAAGGAATCAAATTGACTGTTATCTTTGGAGAAGCTCCGTATCATCAGCCAAAACAAGCCCAGACTGTGGAATAGACAATCAATTGATCATATGCAAGTTCAGGCTGAAGCTGAAGAAAATTAAAACAAGTCCACAAGTGGAAAATCTGACCTTGCATATATTCCAACTGAACTGAGGGACATCTCAAGATGTGATGCATGAGACACTAATGACCGAAGACCAAAGGACCTGTGGGATGACATCAAGAACATCATACATGAAGAAAGCAAAAGGTCATTAAAAACACAGAATAGAAAGAGAAGACCAAAATGGAAGTCAGAAGGGACCCTGAAACTTGCTCTTGAGCATAGAGAAGCTAAAATGGATAGATGATGTAGTAAAACAGTTGAAAAGAAAACTTCAAAGGGCAGCTCAAGAAGGCAAGGGCAAATATAATGAAATGTTCAAAGACATGGAATAAGGGTAAAACACATTTCTCAAGCTGAAAGAGCTGAAAATTCAAGCTTCGACTTGTGATACTGAAGGATTCTGTGAGTAAAATACTGAATAACACTGGAAACATCAAAAAGAAGATGGGAGGAAAAGTCACTGAACCAAAAAGAATTGGTTGATATTCAATCATTTACAGAGGTACCATACAATCAAAAACTGATGGCACTGAAGGAAGAAATCCAATTTGCACTGACTGCACTGTTGAAAACCAAGGCTCCAGCCATTGACAGAATACAAATGGGAGCTGCCAGAAATTCACTACGGATTCAGAAAACGACATGGAACAAGAAATAACACTGCTGATGTCAGATGGGTCTGGGGTAAAAGCAGAGAATACTAGAAAGATGTTAACTTGTGCTTTACGCAAACGTATTTGACTATGTGGATTAAACACACTATAGATAACATTGTGAAGAATGGGTATTTCAGAACATTTCATTGCACTCAGGAGGAGCTGATACACAGACCAAGGAGTTGTTAGAATAGAACAAGGGGATACTTAATAATGGTTTAAAGTCAAGAAAGGTGTGTGCCAAGATTGTACTCTTTCACCATACTTACTCAATCTGTATGCTGAGCAAATAATCAGAGAAGCTGGTTTATATGAAGAACTTAGTATCAGGATTGGAGGACAACTCATAACAACCTGTGATATGCAGATGATATAACTTTGCTTGCTGAAAATGGACTTGAAATACTTATTGATGAAGATCAAAGTACGGATCAGTATGGATTGCCCTTCAATATAAACAAAAATCCTCACAACTGGACCATAAATTGTTATTATTAAGTGCTATTGAGTCAGTTCCAACACACAGTGACCCTGTACAGGGTTTCTGAGAAGCAGCTGGTGGGTTTGAACTGTCAACTTTGTGATTCAAAGTGACCTTGCAGTCTAGTGCATTATCCTGCAGTGCCACACCAGGACTCCTGACCAATAACGTCATGATAAATGAGGAAAAGATGGAAGTTTAAAAGACTTCATTTTCCTTCAATCTACAATCAATGCTCATGGAAGCAGCAGTGCAGATATCAAAGTACTGCATTAGACAAATCTGCTGCAAAAGACTTCTTTAAAGTGTTCAAAAGCAAGACTGTCAATTCTGAGGACTAAGGTATGTCTGTCTGCCCCAAGCCATAGTATCACCTCATATGCATGTGAAAGCTGAACAATGAATAAGGCAAATCATAGAACAATGGATGAATTTGAATTATAGTATTGGAGAAGAATATTGAAAGTGCCATGGACTTCCACAACAAAAAAATCTTTCTTGGAAAAAAGGGCGGTGAGACTTTTAGTCTCTCATACGTTGGACATATTATCAGGAAGGACCAGTCCCTCAAGGACATTATGCTTGGAAAAGTGGAAGGTCAGTGAAAATAAGGAAGACCCCCCCAACAAGATCGACTAACACAGTGGCAGCAATAATGGGCTCAAACATACTAATTGTAAAGAACGTACTGTATCAGGCAGAGTCCTGGTTAATGCGCTGGACAGCAAAGGCGGTTTGATCTGCAGTTCAACCTCCCAGTGGCTCCTCAGAAATCCTATACAGGGTGTCTATGGGCCAGAATCGACTCAATGGCACTTAACCAACAAATACGTAAAATTCACATGTACATACTGATTATATTTAGTTCTAATATAATTAGTAATCAGTTCATAAATTTTAATTGGCAGCAATCAATCCAACAACCCAGTGAAATAACTAAATATTTATTTTAAGTGCAAATAACCACTTGGGGAAGAAATGGGGAGGATAAAGCGTTTAAAAAATGGACAACACGCTTAATTCCCTGGTGACCCACATAAGTGAAATACAGTAAGTGAACAACACACAGAACACACAGACTTCAAAAAAAGGCCAACAAAGCCAAAGTTTTATTTAATCAACCAGGATTCCTGATTCTCTCAAGTCTGTTTAGGATTCACAGATACAGTATTAAGGGGGTCCAGATGTCTAGAGTTAAACAGTTTTTTGGTGACAAAGGGGCAGAATAGACCTCTACAATCATGTTGGTTTTCTCATCTAAGTGAAATGCTCACAAACTCTTTTCTCTGATCTCTCCTAGGACACAAAACCTCTTCTCTCTCAGACGCTCATCTCCACTGATCACACAGGCACCAGCCCTACTTTCTGCTCAGCCAATAAGGGGATTTGGGGCTCAGATTCATGGCAAGGAAACGTGCACAACTGTAACAAGAGTGTCTTGGCTCTACCTCAAGGAAAGCTGGGCTGGCTTTAGTGAATGAGTCTTCCCACATTTCTCATGTTAAGTGCCGTCCAGTAGGTTGTGAACCGTAGTGACCCTGTATAGGGTTTCCAAGGAGCGACTGGTTAGCTTGAACTGCTGACCTCGTGGTTCAAATCGACTTTGCAGTTCAGCGCATTAACCTACAATGGCACACCAGAACTCCGAGTAGTGAACTGAACTCTACAGTCATGCCTCATTTTATTGCACCCCTTAGATTGTGAGTTTTTCACAGATTTTTACTGAGTCAAGCCAGTCCAACAGCATGTGCTCACTTCATGCCTCTGTGTCACATTTTAGTAATTCTCACGGTATTTCAAACTTTTCCATAACACTATTGCACTTAAAATACTACAATATAGTGTAAAGATAACTTCTGTATTCGCTGGGATACCAAACAATTCACGTGACACGCTTTATTGAGATTTCTGCTTTACTGTGGTGGTCTAGAACCACACCTGCAATATCTCTGGAGTATCCCTGTATAAAAATGAACGAGCTCTTGCCTCATGAGTAGGAGTAAGAGTAGCTTCCAAGAATGCAGGGATGCTCGCAAGCCATATACTACTCAGATGTGGCCAATTCCTCACGCATAGTTATGTGAGAAGAATAAAATCCTATGGTCAACTTTTTATTTTTACCTCAGGTGGGAAAGATGTGTGATGGATTGTTTTTACCCCGCTCCCACTAAAAATTACTTTATCTACACACAGACACACTCAGAAACACAACATTTTCAAGAACAATTTTGCTCCCGTATGACTCCAGGATCCCAGAATCCAGCCTCCGAGGCCAAGAGACGATGCCTGTTAAATGCACAGATCTCGTGATCTACGTGCTGTACGAGGCTCTGTGGTGTCTCATAAGCTGAGGGGGCAGGTGCAAAGGGAGTGGACACTCATATGGGATTTGCTTTGTCTTAAATCGAACCTACTCAGCAACACTGTTAGATCCAGCGGCTGGGACCGGTTCTACAGGCACAGTATGGTGGATGACTTGATGGTCCCAGCCCACTGTGGTAAGGAGGGAGTGGTTAAACTGGGACCAAGTAGCATCTCTCACAAAGTCTCTGTGGGCTCGGCTTCTAAACCTAGAAGACAAAAAGAATGTGGGCATGCTATCAATAAGAAGAAAAAGTAGGCCTGGAAAAAAAGTACTCCCAACATGTCTGGGGTACATTTGGGTTGTTTCTACACACATTTCACCATATTTGATGGCCAGGCTAGCCGTGTACCTACCCACGGCTAACTGCATCAATTATGCCCGCTATTTTCAGAGGTGGCTAAAATGAGGTTAGTAATTTATGGGTCAGGATCAGGCTGTATATGATGGCAAAGGTGGGAGTATGATTCAGGTCATGCTTTTACCCTACAGCAGGTTGCATTTCACTTACAGAGTTTCTTATGAAAAGGGCAGACTGCCCCCTGCTGAGAGAGCTGGAATGCCAGACTCAGAAACTCCACCCACCACCCACATTCCAACACTGACAAAGATATGGTTGTGAGCAGTCCCAGGAAAAGGGAGATGGTTAACAGTCTAGTTGCTTCCATTACCCAGCCCCCTCATACAAAGATCCCCCTCCAAGATAACACATTTTGCTGAAGGAAAAAAGGATCCAGCGCTTGCTGTTGCCCCCTTGCTGATTCTGATCACAGGATTGCATGCACACTTACACCTCGGAAAGGCTCAAGTCCAGCACGGCTAGTGAGCAATCCTCACTGATAGAGGCCAGGAGGGGAACACTAGGAGAGAAAGAAGAGGGTTATGAAAGGTAAAGCCTCTCAAGACAAAACCCAGTCTGCCCCTCGCTCCCCAAGACCCCAGTATATACTGAACTGACCCAAGGGAAGGTGGCTTTGGGCTAAGGTCTGGCTACCACTGAAGTCCACATCACACGTTTCAAGGAATGGAGCAAAGTCAACACTGAAAATCACCCATCTGATCCCTCCCTGCAGATTCAGTAGTTACCCAGAAACACCCAGGGAAAATACGGCTTTCCAAACACACAGTCCTAGGGAGTTGAGGCAAAATGAGACTACATCTTAGTTTTGTTCAGAAAGAGATCTCACAACACAAAAAGAACAATAGTCATAGAGACCTCTGATACTATTACGCCTCCTAGCAGAAGTGTTGGTTCAAATCAGTTGCCTTTAAGTTGGATTGATTCATGGCAACCCCATTTGTCTCAAAAATAGAACTGTGCTCCATAGGGTTTTCAGTGGCTGCACTGCTTCTGGGAATAGATCACAAGGCCTTTTCTCAAAATGTCTCTGAGTAAACTTGAATCTTAGCAGCCAAGTGTGCTAACCATCTGCATCTGTCTGCTTTACGGAACTACCTAATCAGCTGATGCTTTGCCAACATAAGCACCTTCCTTGCTGTTCCCATTCACAGCTACCAGACCCTGAAGACAAAGATCAGTACCTGTGAGGGGAGAACACCAGTCCAGTGACACACTGGGAGTGCACATCTGAGCTAAGGGCACAACTTGTGCTCTTGGTGTCCACAAAGGAGACAGTTCCATTCTCATCACCTGTAACACAGTGGTTCAGAGCATGGCATTTGGAGTCAGTCAAACCTGGATTTGAATCTTGGACCCTCAATCTTGGACGAGTTATACAGCCTAACCTTCAGCTTCCTCTTATGTAAAGCAGGACTAGCTAATCATTGGGTGGTCGTCAGAATGCAATGAAGGAATGAGATAGTTATTTTAACCACAAACTACATCACCACCTTCATGGCCTCACTGCCACGAGAGAGAGAGACCTGCAAACATCCAGAGAGAAAATGCCCATTGCTATAATCAAGTAGATACAGAAGTCTACAGTAAAACCTGAGAAAGTCAAAGAGGGAAAACTTGTCCCATGCTGGAGTGGTGCTGTAGGACAAGCACTGGACTGCTAACCAAAAGGTTGGTGGTTCAAACACAACAGTTACTCCTCAGAAACCCTCTACAGGGTCGCTGTGAGGAGAAATCGACTGGATGGCACTAACAATTGTTGGTAAGTACCGTTGAGTCACTTCCAACCCATAGTGCCCCTGTTTATGGTTTCTAAGGAGCGGCTGATGAGCTTAAACCACCAACCTTGCAGATCAAGCTGACTTTTCAGTCCAGCACATTAACCACATCGCCACACCATGACTCCAATAGAGAACAGTATAAAGGCAGTCAAAACTTCAATAGAGACCACTATAAATGCGGTCAAAGGCAGAAGACCCAGAAAACCAAGGCAGCCCCATTGAGTTCCAGCTCTCACAGGTCCCCCCTGTATTTGTGTTGTGGGGTTCACTGACTTTTAGTCATGACCAGAATACAGGAGTAAGTGTAATCAAAAAGGAAATCATTTGGGGGTTAGGGAGCATCATGCCCTCCAAAGCTCGACAAAGCTGACTTTTGGATTATCCTATTTCCCCACCTCTCCACCACCCATGTGTGCTGATGACTCCAGCAGCCAGATTCCCGTGCGCTGTGGAGTACATCTTTTCCTCTATCCCCTGCTTCCCAGAGTCAATACGCAGTTTGACATGCAGACTTACCAAAGACAAAGGCTTCACTTTGCTGAGGATGCCAAGCCAGTGAGGTAGGAAGGTAGCCAGAGGAATTGCAGTCTGTAAAGGAGAAAAACAAGGGTCTGGGCCAAGCCTCATACAGAGTCCAGAGAAAGCAGCTTTTCCAATAAACTCACTCTAAGTCCTGGGAAGACCTTTATTTCATATCCCAAACCTTAGAAGGCCATCATGTGCTCATCTGGGAGCCTCACTGCCTCCATTTATCCATTAGCCATCTGTCCTTTCTGGATAGCACAGTCACGGGCAAGTTTAAGCACAACCATGAAGATAGTAACTCTGGCCTCTTTGCCCACCGATTTAATAAACAAACCACCCACCCAAAAACCAGGCCTTCCTTAGGATCCACTGCACAAAACAGGAGTTAGCAGAGCCTCAGTGAGAAAGAAGATTATGTTACTACGTCACAGTGACTGGGCATCTGGTAGCTTTGCCTTCAACTCTGGCCAAGGAAAGAATCTTCTAAGTGAGTTCCTGGCACCATCCTCCCCTGACTGGCTCTCAGACTCACCTATCTGTGATGCTGGCTTGGGACAGCGAGTATCCCACAGTAAAATTCTTTTGTCCTAGAAGAATAAACAGGAAAGAAAACAAAATGGGGTTTCACAATCCAAAGCAGCAGCTGCTGCCCAGGAAAGCCTCCACTAGAGAGCAGCCCGTGACCTACAGAGAGCTTGGGAGTGGTTACAGTGTGAGAAGGGACGGGAAAGACGCTAGCTCACCTCACTACATGACAGAAACATGGAGTCCTTGTGTGGAGAGGCAGCAACACAGGTGACCTGCCCAGAGTGAGCTATATGGGAAAGAAAAAGAGAAATAAGACAGAGGAGAAGCTGGGGACATTATAACAAGGCAAGTCCAGATGCCATCCAGGGGCAGAAGAGAAGTATGAGAAACAGGTCCGGCCTCATGATATAATTTAGCAAACTTCTTGAGACAATATTAAGACAAAACCTAAAGATTGATGGGTAGGAGTTATAACACCAAAAAAGACTGGGGGAATAAACATGAAGGAGAAAATAGCAGCTGAGTAAGAATAGAGACAGGGCTCATACCAGGGAGCTTTTAAAAAAATTGTGGGAAAATGAAATTTTCCTACAAACATTTTGAAGACCCCTCCTAGTTAGTACTCTAGTTGTAGAAGCTAAAGAAATCTAGAATCACAGTTATAATTATACTGGAGCACACAGACCTTTAGGTAGTGTACACAAATATTCCAGGTGGTCCCTGGATGCTGAAAATTTTCAAGAAATCTATGTCTCCAATGTTCTTTCCTTAAATTGACTCGAGAATGTGTCTGCAGCCTGCCAATTCTTTTCTCCTACCTCTACTTTCACAATCACTCTCCTTTACAGAAGCCTCTCAGTCATGCCTGTGGTGCAATATTCACAGGTATAAAAACCTAAAGGTTCCAAACTGAGGGGCAAAAGGACCTTGTCCTCAGGAGTCAAGGGCCCAAAGGAAGCAGAAACACAGAAGGGAACTGACCTTATTTCACACACAACACAAACACAAGGGTTGTTTTCTGAATTAATCAATTCTGATCAATGAGGATTTATAACTGTGATAGATGGCTATCATAAGGACACATCCAACAAGTTGATCTGAATTTTAAAATGAAGCCAGATTTACCCTAACAAAGTTAACTCTAACGTGGCCAACTGGTTTAACAGTTGGGTATTGATTATTTGGTAGATATTTTGCATTAGTTAAGTGGGCACAGTCTGCAAAAGTAAGATTTTGATACAAATACAAAGGGTTTTTCAAAGAGTTTGTGGAAAAATTCCATTATATTTTCACTCTTTTTTTTCCCCACAAACCTTCTGACATCCCCTCATATGCTTAAGACAAGTATACAATAGATAAATGTCAGAAATTGCCTTTGCAAGGGTTTAAACTAAAATCTTTTAGATAACTACTTAATATGTGTGAAGGGATATCATTTTGCAGAATTCTTTTAATTGAAAAAAATTTTTGATGATTATTGCTAGGTTAATGCTCGGCTGCAAAAATCAGTTTCTCGAAAAGTCATTTAACCAGACTTTCCAAGGAAGTCTCAATGTGGTTGTGCTCTTGAGGAAGAAGGATGGGATTCAACCACACTCCACAGCTCTCTCTAGCCCTATAATCCAGCATGGTGAAAAACCAGGAAAGGAATTTATTCCTCAGTGAAAAAAACACACAATAAAAACTCTGCAATAAGCACTGTGGGGGAGTATATAAAAGGAAGAACACATAGTCCTTCTGTCCTCAAGGGATTTGGAATTCAGTGAGAGAAGTAACACACAGAATTCAAAGAAAAGGCTGAAAAGAGGATGTGTTAGAGGTTTGCAATATTCAAGAAGGCACAGGACACATCTAAGAAGTAAAAGGCAAGTATGGTAGATTTCAGACAATGGCATTTTAACATTTTTGTCTATTTGAAAGTGACCTGTAGGTCCAAATATATCCGTTTGTGATTCTGCTTTGGGACAATCTGAGCCCTGCTTTTTGGCAGTGAAAGGCACTGGCCACTGAATAAACCACAGTGACCCCTAGCACCTAAGTCCGAGTAAGAGACACACTACACATTCTGTACAACAAAATGGCTCCCAATACAGCCAGAACCGCTAATGGAAGTGAGCACAAAGAGGAATACTGCAAGAAAATGATGGTTCTTAGTAGAAAACCAGAAATTTTATGGAAGGGACATTCCAAAGTTTAAGGTTCATAAGTCTCAGGGTCTATCTCTTGAATGTCAAGAATTTATTGTGATTAGGTTTAGAGTCCTTAAAGGGAAAGAGACAACAAAAGGGTTTGAGTGCCATGAGATTTTAACCTGCAGGTCACAAAATACAAATGAGAGAACAAAAGACTATAGGGGGAGAGCTGAGTGGCAGTGTCCGTGTGAGGTAATGCCTGAAAGTCTTAAGAAATGGAGAGATGGTGACGGACCAAGTGAAAAAGCACTAAGTAATCAACTGAGAGTGTAGGAAGAGTAGAAAAGAACTGGAAGTTTGATCCACACAGAAATAGGGAAATTAAGAAAAAGGCAGAGGGTAGATACTGAGGCCTGGTTTTAGTTTTGGAGGAAAACTATCAGGCAGGAGAACATGGAACTATTGCCCTTGACATCAAAAAGAAATTCAGAGTTCAAAGAGAAGAATCAAAACAAAATGGCTAGGGCGAGGACTGAAAGAGAGGAACCACTCACCTCGATATGAGTTCAGTACAGTCTGCTGAGCAAGGTCCCAAACCTTGATGCTAAGAAGCAAAGGGACACAGACACTTAGTCTTAACCAGGACTTTCAATGGGTTCAGTCATGGCCAAAAAAATGAAATCATTTCAGACCCAAATTTTCAAAACTTGGGTGATCCAAAATGCTACCTGGAACAGGAACAAATCCTAGGATGCAGACTCAGAAGAGGCGAGTAAGACCTTTCCCGATCCTAGCGCACGAGACTAGATCAGTGTCAGGAATGTGGAGAGCGCCACACATTCACATTGGCCAGGTCAGCCAGCATCTCTGAGCGGGCTACTGCTTGTGGCTGGCTCTGCTCCAAAGCCAAGGGGCAAGAGATGTGGTTGCTATGCAACGTATCTCTTGTTTTCTACGTAGGAGATTAAACTTGCTAGCAGGGTTCTGACCTATAGTTTTTCCAGTTCCAGTTCACCCATATTTTAAAAATTTGGATCTCTTCTAGCTTGTCTTCCTTGGCCACAAATGAACTGGTAAGAAAGGACCTGAATATTGGTCTTGACCCAGACTATCTACATAAAAACGAGTTCAAACAAGTACTTCCTTTAACCAACATGTTTCATTTTTCTGTCTTTACCTGCAATAGACCATTCTGCTATGGTCTATTGCATTAGCCTGCAAAATTCCTAAAGACATACATCAGTTACCAAGTTTTTATAATGACCCATAACAATACTTAATGAGGCTCAGAGGATAATTGTTGTTAGGTATCTTCAAGTTGGTTAAAACTCAAAGGGTTTCTGAGGCTGCAAATCTTTATGGGAGCAGAAAGCTTCGTCTGTCTCTTACGGAGCACCTGGTGGTTTCCTGCCCAGTGTTTATCCTACAGAGCCACCAGCACTGCCAACAGGATAGTGGTGGTGGTGTGCCATGGAGTTGGTTCCAACTCAAAGCGACCCTGTACAGGGTTTTCGAGGCTATAAATCTTTACGGGAGCAGAAAGCCTCTTCTTTCTCCCACCAAACAGCTGGTAGTTTCGTATTGCTGATCTTGAGATTAGCAGCCCAATTCGTAACCACTACGTTACCAGAGCTGCTTCAACAGGATAGTAAGAACCCATAAAGGAAGCCTAGGGAGAGGAGTGATGAGAAGAGGTACCCACCAGAAATCCTTGCTACCACTGACAGCTTGTGTGCCAGAGCTCAGGACACTGACTGTAGACACGATATCATCATGCTCATACTTGCAGAACTTGCTGACAATGAGTGTCTCACTTTCATCCAGCTCCCACAATTCAACAGCACCTGGTTAGGGGCAAGGAAAACGTGGACTTATGGTACAACTAGGGAGTAAATCACTTCTTGGACTCATTTGGTCCACTGTTACTGAGTAAACGACTCCTATAAAAGCAAAGCCTATTATTATTAAAGGGTTTAGATAACTTCCAAGTCACGTGGTTTTATGTAGCCATTACTGTCTTCCTACTAACAGTTCAGAGAGCTGAGGGGAAAGCCTCAAGAAAAAGTCAGGGAAAGATAGATCGGCTTGTAAAATCCATTATTCTGCTTCTAATGAGACAATCAGCTTCCAGAACACAAGGATGAACTCTCCACAACTGCACAGTATACATTCTGGTGAGGTTAACCTTTCCAACTATTGTTGCTATTGTTAAGTGCCATTGTCAGTTAGGACTAATGCCGACTTCGTATAGGGTTTCCAAGTTGCAGCTGGTGGGTTTGAACCATATGCTTTGTGGTTCAAACTCAACAGTCACTCCTTGGAAACCCTGTACAGGGGCACTATGGGTCAGAACCGACTTGACAGCACTTAACAACAAGTATGAGGATGCTTCAAAAAGTTCATGGAAAAAGATAATTAAAAGATAATGGGATTTCCCCACAAACTTTTCAAAGCCCCTTGTACTTGTGGAAGCAACTGAATAAATGGAGAGTTTTAATAAATATTTGTTGAATAACTGAATGTCTTGCATAGTATTTAGCTTTAAAAAAAGGCATCTTGAATAATTAATGTCTAAACTCAACTGTCAGAGGCTCAATCTTCAATGTGCCACTTTCATCCTTCTATGAAACAAATGCCTGACAACTCAAAAGTTTTCACTGCTGAGCTTTCCACTCAGAACAATGAAAATAAAACAAAGACATTTAAGACAAGAACAGGGGAGGAGACAGTACATACTGACTTCAACATCATTCTTAAACTCAGAGAATATTACTTTTGCTGGGCAGGGTTTACAAAATAGAAATACTACCTTAACCCATTTCTTAAACATGTTATGGATTTTGCTAGGAACTCCCACCAAGTAATTTAGAAGCCTGGGAAAAGTGTTTTCCACCCATAAGAGTTCACATTTGGAGCCAAGACGTTCAGGTTCCTCCATGCACTGGGTATAGGATGCCCAATCCGGATGTACCCTGAACTTCCAATCCACCCGTAGGATCGAGGGGAAAGTGACTCACCCGAATCAGAAGCCACGAGGATACCCTTGTCCCCCACCCAAGTGAGGTCAGCCACTCCAGCCTCCGTCTGGACTCCAGCGTTGCAGAAGCCTTCGTTGGGGGCGGAACCAGGGTCCTTAAAAAGCCAGAGGGAGCCAGCCCAGCAGCGGCCACTCAGGCTGGAAGCCCCAAGTAGGAGTGCCCCATCTATGGGGGGTACAAGTTGTCAGCGCGCGAAGGGAGCAAGGGCTCGTCTCCATGGTGACCGCACCGGGCAGCACGCGCCGGCTGGGTCCGGATCCGAGCTCAAAAACGCAAGGCGGGGCGGGAAACTAAGCTCAGCTATGAGAGGAAGGGATCAGGGTGGCATGCGGGGCGAGGGCAGGGGCAGGCTGGAAGGATCAGTTTCGGGAAAGGGGCATCCAAAGCCGGGATGAGGGAGCTCCCAGGCCCGGGATGATCTCGGCTCACCGGACCGGTACCGCGCAGCCTCCAACTGCCGTTCCATACAAGCGGGTGCATTGGGGGGAAGGTTCCATTCGCGGACCGCCGGGGGTACTAAAGGAAGAGGGGTTTCCTTCCGCATCGCCACAGTCCCAACTCCAACCCAGACCCAAACTGGACGCTGGCCAGAGATTCAGCACCGCTGCAATCCCACGTGGTGCACCACTGGGCCTCCGCCCCTCTCCCGAGGCTACAATAACTCTACTTCTCGCGATAATTGTTGCCACTGTCAGGCTGCTGTCCTCCGACAACAGGTTCTCGCGAGAACTCCAGAGAAAGTTGAGGGAAAAGCGTGGGGCGATGTTCTCTTCCCGCGAGACTTGTGAGCGTCCATCTTGCTGCTGTCCGTGACAGACTCTCCCGTCGGGGTCACAGGGACGCTTAGACCGCCGCTTGGACCCTACCTGGCCATGTTATCCCGGGTGGTACTTTCTGCCGCCGCAACAGCAGGTGAGGGTTGTAGAGCCTGGTCTAAGCTATTGGGGCGATTAGAAAGAGGCGACTGTAGGGATCATGGGCGGAGGAGGTGGAAGAAAAGGGGAGTCAGAAAAATTCAGCGAGATCTGGGCCAAAACAAGGAGTGATCAGTGCTGATCAGAAGGGAGAGCAGCTCTGGCTGTGAGGGGACGGGAAAGACGGTGCAGAGCCATAATGATTGGACCTAGAGGGACCAGAGGAAGGGGAACCCTGATGCCACCTTGACTTTGCTGACCTTTGCCTTGTATATCTGCAGCCCCCTCCTTGAAGAACGCAGCCCTCCTAGGTCCAGGGTAAGTTTGAGGAGTGTAATGCTCCCCTGGGTCCTTGTTTTATCACCACCTTTGACGTTTCGGGTTCTCCCTCTTGGCCTGAAACCAGAAATTACTCCCCGGGTAATTCTTGGGACGCTTCGAGGCTCATTCAAACATTTTTGTACCTCTCAATGCCATGAACATCTTAAAACCTAATGGCAAAGATTTAAAGAGGTCAACTGATGTGTTGTAATTAGACTAGAAAACAGGGTTTTGGTGTCGTCACAGCCCCGCCTCTCTCCCGGTGACCTTCAGCGAGGTGAAGCCAAACCAGGGCTGCCCGATCAAGAGCAAGTTTTATTAAACAAGGAGAACAGTGAAGCGCGTTGCTTTCCATTTGTCTCCCACATTCTTTTTTACTGTCAGATCTGAAGATACAGAAAAACCTTATTCATCGATGCACCAAATATTTAGCTTGTCACCCGGATACAAAAATACTTTTAAGTAAGGTAAGGCTAAGTAGTCTATCTTCATGGAACACACCCACACATTCCAGAAGCGGCAGCTGTAGAGTAGCTCCAACACAAGGAGTGCAGGGGACACCCCACTCCGCCACTCACTAGCTGTAAGGGTGCAAGTTTCCTATCTGCAAAGTGGAGCTCATGGTGCCTTATGGGCTTGTGAGATTTATATTAAGATTTAATATATGTGAAACTCTTACACTGCCTGTTACATAATGTGTGCTTAGTAATGTTAGCTGTTACTGTTAGTATTATTTCATTTTTTAAACATGTCCATTTGCTTTGGGATTTTTCTTTGGACTTCTTAATTTAGTCCTATTTTGGGGCTTGAAAAAGCAGCATTAATCTGTCTGCAGTTAGTTTTCATGGAATAAAATAAGGCCATAAGTAATCTATTAACTATATATTTAAAAATGCAAGGAAACCTTCTTGAGTTTTCTTCCAAACTCCATATCAAAATTCTTCTTGCAAACTATATCTTGACTCTGTTTTTGTTAAGAGTTGTCAAGTCAGCTCCGACCCATAGCAACCCTCTATAGGGTTTCCAATGAATGGCTGCTGAGCTCAAACCGTTGACTTTGCAGTTCAAACCAGCTTTGCAGTCCTGCGCATTAACCTGTAGCGCCACACCAGCAGTCCAACAAATACCACTTGAGCTGTAGTAAAATAGTCTCTTAGCTAGACTCCTTTTGGCTTTGTTCTTTCATTATAACCAGTTCTAACAATTAAATAAAGAAACCATTGCTATCAAGTCGATTTTGACTCATGGTAACCCCATGTGTGCAGAGTAGAACTGCATTCTATAGGGTTTTCAAGGATGTGACCTTCAGAAGCAGCTTGTCAGTCCTGGCTTCCAGAATGTACCCGGTTATGGTGGTGATGTGCCGTGGAGTCATTTCTGACCCATAGCAACCCTGTACGGAGTTTCCGAGGCTGTAAATCTTTACGGAAGCAGAAAGCCTCATCTTTCTCCCACAGAACAGCTGGTAGTTTCAAACTGCTGACCTTGCAGTTCACAACCCAATTCGTAACCACTTCGCTACCAGAGCTCCTTAAAGTGCACCTGGGTGGGTCCAAATCACCAAGTTTCTGTTAGCAGCTGAGCACTTAACTGTCTGAGAAACCCAGGAAATAGCCAGAGGGTTTATGTCACTCACCTAAAACCCTCTAGAGCTTTGCATCCCATTTGAGTTAAAATCAAAATTATTTAGCATATCTCAGAAGCCCCACCATGAATTGATCCCATTTTACCTAATTGCTGTTATCACTTTCAGTTCTCTTTGTAGTTTATCCTCCAATCCTACTGACCTCGCAGTGTCTCTGAAAATTGGTTGTTTTGTTGTTGCTATGTGCTGTCAAATTGCTTCCAACTCATCGATACTCTATGTAGGGTTTCCAAGCAGTGACTGATGGGTTTGAACTGCTAATCTTGGAGTTAGCAATCTAGTGCTTATTCTACAGCGACATACCAGAAAAAGACTAGAGGATTTTATTTGACCAGAAGCTCAACATGAAACACCAATATGCTATTGTTGTTGCTAGTGCCATTGAATTGGTTTTGACTGTATAACGACCCTGTATAGGGCTTCTGAGGAGTTGCTGGTGAATTTGAACCGCCAACCTTGAGATTCAAACCTACCTTGTGGTCCAGTGCATTATCCCACAGTACCACACCAGAACTCCATTGTTGTTGTTAAGAGCCAGCAAGTCGATTCCAACTCAGTGACCCTTTAGAGGGTTTCCAAGGAGCATCCAGTGCAGTTAACAGTCCAATTGCTTATCCTGCAGCACCATACCAATATACTGTAACTGCTAAATTGCATCTTGTTGTTAAGTGCTATCAGTTGGTTTTGACTCATAGCGGCCCTGTATAGGGTTTCTGAGGAACAACTGGTGAGTTTAAGCCGTGGACCTTGAAGTTCAAACCAAGCTTGTGGTCCAGGGCTTATCCTACAATGCCACAACAGGACTCTTAGGCTGCTTTAATATAAGAATAATTAGCAAATCATTGTTGCTAGTAGTAGAAGCCTTCAGGTCTGGTATTGACAATAAATAGCAAGTTCTCAACTATTTGTAGAATGAGTGAATTGGCCAAGCTATTATGTTAGGTTCTGGATACCCATTTTGGTTGTTGGAACTGAAATGCTTAACACAAATACCTTGAACATTATCTTACATAGAAAAGCAAAGTTAGAACCAGTGAGTTGAAGTTTCAGGGGCATGTATAGCAGCTAAATTTAAAGATGACCATAATAAACTTACCCACCACTGAAAAGGCCTATTTCTCATAGTGGATATTGCCTTAATGTAGGAAATACTCTAAAATGTTACTTTTTATACTGGAGTTCAAAGCACAGAGGATATATAAAAGGTAGCCACTTACACTGGACGTTGCCATATGTCAAGCACTATCTTAACAACAACTCTATTAGGTAATATTCCTTGTTCAAGTACCTAGAGGCTTAGATTACTTACTCAAAGTCAGGTGGCGGGTCTCAGATTTGAATCCAGCTAGTCCTCAGTCTGTTCTTGGATATTTCATTTATAATCATAGACATGCATAAAGTGCTACGCACATGACCTCTCAGACTTATACAAGGGATTGGGATTCCAGTATTGGAATAAGGCTGTCCTTGTTACATAGCTAATTATACCCTAGCCTCTTTCCATTATAACAATTACTGAGAAACTCCCTCAGTCTTCCCCATTTATTGTTTCTGCTGATTGTTTAAACATTGTTTGTTCCAAATAATAGACTTTAAATTTGTATTATTACTACTTATAGGGTGTTGCAAGCCACAAGGATCTTTCACACAGGGCAGCCAAGTCTTGCCCCTGTACCACCACTTCCTGAATATGGAGGGAAAGTTCGGCTTGGGCTGATCCCTGAGGAATTCTTCCAGTTCCTTTATCCTAAAACCGGTGTCACAGGTGAGTATTTGCCTAGTCTTTGGATGGTATCATTTGTATTAACCTAAGATTTTAGTGGCTTCTTAACTGTTCCACATACACCACACAAAAATCAGATCAACTGGCTTTAAAAGGAAATCGTGGAGGTGATTAAATATAACCATTAATTTGATTGCTCTAACTTTTGGAATAAGTTTGGTTAGGATTTTAACTTAAATTGTCTCATTTGTTAATGAATGAATTGGTTAAATGTATTCACGCTTATGGAATGGCCACTGTATGCCAGGCATTGTTTTAGGTAGTGGGAATACAATAGTGTGCTAAATTAGTGCCTGTCATCCTGGAACATACATTCTGCTGTGGAATACAGTATAGTTAACTATATAATATACTGTCAGGTAATGGAATTACTATAGCCTGGTGTGGCATCATAGGATAAACATTGAATAGCTAAGCAAAAGGTTATATTTATGGAAACTCTACTTTCTGTACACTTTTCATAAACCTTAAACTGCTCTAAAAAAAAATCAAGTCTTAAAATTTTATATGTTAAAGGCAAATTTAAGCAAAGAAGAACTGTGGAAGCATAATGGTCAACTGGGTAAAATGTTTTCTGAGCCTAGAACTTTTATTGTTACATACTGACATCCTTGGTACTGGTATTGTTTAAAAACACTATAAAATACTGCCCTAAAGGCCAGGTATATCCTGCCTAGCATCGTTTTAGGCATAGAGGGAAACCATTAAGAACTCATGGCATGGCTAAATAGAAAGGTAACCATGTTTGAAGTGGTATACGTAGATGCTAAGTTGTGAGTCAGAACTAACTAGACAGCACTTAACACCAGCAACAACAAAAGGAGTTGAAAATCTTTTATATACATATGTTCTTGTTTGTTGGATTATTTGTGCAGAACACTTCCATTATTTCTCAGTTTTATCAACCCCATGAAGAAGCTACTGTTCCCATTTTGCAGATGGAGAAACTGAGTTTAGAGATTATATAAATTTCTCAATTTCTAATAAGTTTCAGAGTTAAGCAACTCTCATTTCCCATATCTCCAAACTCTTGTCCTTTCAGCTCTATCATTCTGTTTAATTTAGTGTTTTGTCTTTGAATCTGATTATTTTAAACTGATAATTAACTTTGCCTCTAACTAACCAAATGCAGCAGTACCTCTTTTCTCCTTTTAGGCATAACATATATTCATCTATAAAATAACTTTTCTTTTAGGACCCTATATGCTCGGAACTGGACTTATTTTGTATTGTCTATCTAAAGAAATATATGTGGTTACCCCAGAAACAATCTCTACCATAGCAACAGTGGGATTGCTTGTCTATGTAATTAAGAAATATGGTGCCTCTTTTGGACAGTTTGTTGATAAAATCAATGAGGTAAGAACAAGTTTTACAATCTATCAAACTTTCTCCAGCTTTTTCATAGCTTTATTCTTTCAATAAAATCTTACATAGCTAGTGTGGGATAGGCAATAGGCCTCTCAGGACCGGGAAGACTGTGTATTCTTAAGGTTCCTAATTTCTGTTTTTTTACCCAAATCCTTCATTCCTTTTGTTGTTGTGCTGTGCCGTGGAGTCGGTTCTGACTCATAGCGATCCTGTACAGGGTTTCCGAGGCTGTAAACATTTGCGGGAGCAGAAAGCCTTACCTTTCTCCTGCGGAACGAACGGCTGGTAGTTTCAAACTGCTGACCGTGAGGTTAGCAGCCCGATTCGTAACCACTACGCTATCAGAGCTCCTTTTAGGAATGGCTTAATTGGTTCTAAATCCTGGATTATTTTTGTGTGTGTGTGTCTTTTCTGGGAGACCTTTAAGGATTTGGATATTTCTTTTTAAAAGTGTGTGTCTTCCTTTGTGGATGTTTTTTTTCACATGAGGGATAAAACTTTGAGAAAGTTAAAAATGAATATATTTCTTACTGCTCTTTTACTGAATTTGTTATAAATAACCTAATTGCAGCAAAAAATTGCCCGACTAGAAGAGGTGAAGCAGGCTTCCATCAAATACATTCAAGATGCAATTGAACTTGAGAAGGCGCAGCAGGCACTGGTTGACAAACGCCATTACCTCTTTGATGTTCAAAGGGTAGGTTTCTGCAGAGAATGAAGTCACTTGTTTGTGTACATTTAATTTCTAAATTTTATTTCTAAATGAGTAATGGTTGAATAGACAGTATATTTTATTTAGAAAAGATAAGATTTGATTAGAGGCTGACTGTTTAGACATAAAAAAATGGTCAAATAGAAAAACATTTAGAATTCTTTCAAAATTAGAAACAGTAGCATTTATAGAACTTCTTTTAGAGCCACACAAAAGAAAACTAGTAAGTTATATTTAATTTTAGGTTGGCATGCACTAAGATACACCATAGGTGATCTATAACTGGATATAAACAAGTAACATGTTTTAAGAAAGTCTGGTATCTTAGACTTCAAATTCACAAAACAAACAAATTCAGATAATAGAACTTTTCACCATTATCAAAGCATAATTGGATTCTAAATTATTTATTTTGACATTTGTACTTTATACCTGATGTTTCTAGTGAGATGCCATTATACTGAAACTATTAGCACACCAATGAAAAAGAAGGTTGAAATGCTAAGAGAGAGTGGTATCTGAAATATTAAAAATCTAAATAAGTATTTCAGTGTGGGCTCTACCTCTTGCATTAGAATCAACTTGGATGCAGTTTGGACCCATACCAAGAAATTTGGAATCAGACCGTAATAGAGGCTACCCAAGGGTCTAATTTTTTTAACAGAATTCTTAAAGATTTTTTTTTTTTTTGGTAGCAAGGTGTATACAACAAAACATATACCATTTCAACTATTTTCACATGTACAGTCCCACCACACCAATCATACTCCCCATGTTGCACAACCATCACCACTTTGCTTTTCCAAATCTTTTTTTTCCCCTTCCTTCTCTTGTTTTCTTATTTCTTAGTACATGAATGTTTGAACATTTTCAGAATATTTTAAAACTTCTTTTAGTATATATTCAGGTTACAACTGGAGAATGGCTCCTATTTTGTACATGATACACACACATTTGCCTTCTATTTTTTTAAAACCACATTTGAAGATATAGCTTTTTCATAAACATTAAATGATAGTCATTTAAATTTTTTCTAATTTAGCAGCTATCTGTTGAACCTCCTCTTGTGTGTCACACTCTGATCAAGGTGCGGTCTTGGGACTACTGCAGAAAGAAAACCGACTCTTAACCATATGGGATCTACTTTCTAGATAAGGAGAACAGAAGATAAATAATTAATCAGATATGTATATGAGATGATTAAAAGTGCTACGAGAGCAATGAAGTTAAAAGTGAAGACATTGTAGGAGGAGGGAGTTATTTTTAATAGGACTGTTAGGATTTTTGTGATATTTAAACAGAAAGAAGTGATAGAGTGGGTTATGTGGATTCCTAGGGAAATAGTGTTCTGGGCAGAGAGAACAATTGTAAGGACTATCAGCTTACTTGGTATATTCAAGAAGTAAGGAGGCCAATGTAGCTAACGTGGTCTGGGTGAGAAAAGAAAAAGGAGGTAGAGAGATATGCAAGAGACAAATCATGTAAGGTCTTCTTTGCTTCTGTAAGGACTTTGACATGTACGGAGTAAAGGAGACAGCCAATGAAGTCTTTTAAGGAGAGGCATGAGATGCTCTCTCAAAGCATCTTCTTGTTGAAATTAGCTTTGAGTTTAATATGCATCAGTTTGAGGTGAGTATGATATCTGTTAGCCAAATTGAAATACTGAATAGACCATTGGATAACTAGTTGTGGGGAGGGGAGAGAATGTCTCTGAAGGTAGTAATTTGGGAGTCATGAACATATAGGTGACATGTAAAAGCCATTTAATAGGAAAACAAAAGCCAGGACGATTTTAATTTTTGATTGCCCTTAAGTAATAAAGGGCCTAAGAATTTCCTGTAGGATTTAGCAGCATGGAGGTTTCTACTGACCTTAGAAAGAGACATCTTAGTGTAGTAATTAGTGTGGATAGAAAAAAAAAAAAATGTGAGGAAAGAATTAAGAATCAGTGTATAAACAACTCAGTCAAAGAATTTTACTGTAATGGTGAGCAGAGAAATTAGCCAGCAGCTGGGAAGAGGAAAATGTAGGAATCAATTTTTTGAAACATGGAAAATACAGTAACATGTTGCATCATACAAAAGTTAGCTGACAAATTAGTTCCAACTCTTGTCTGTATACGGTTTCCAAGGAGCCACTGGTGGTTCAAGCCTACAAGTTATTAATAGGGGGCAGGGATATATAGCAAAGAGAGAAAAGAATTGCTGGAGTAGTGCTCTTGAATTGGGTCTGGAAACTAATGCTCAGGTGGAGGGATTGACTTCAGGAACACAATGATTCAGCCATAGTTATAACGAGGCAAAGTATATGAGTGAAAATTCAAGTAGATGTTTATGTGGTGGTAGGAGTTTGTGGAAATTCTTTAAAGTATTCTCATTTAGACAAGATAATAAAAGCCTTGTCACCATTATTTGTATTATTCTGGAGGTAATAGTTAATGCATTTTTTAAAGAAACAGGAGAAGAGATATAAAACTTGGAAAAGAAAAGATGAAATTATTATTTATAGATTATCTGATTATATACCTGGAAAACCTAAGAAAATCAGTGTAATTCTTAGCACAATAAACAAATTCAGCAGAGTTCTTAGGTATAAAATGGCTATGTAGTTAAACAAGCTCAGTAGACTGTATATACAAATAGCAGTCAGAAGATAAACCATTTAAGAGAAGATGCCTAGATGTGCATGAAGTGAGTTGGAGGTGTACAGTACAGTCTTTATATTTTGAAAACTGTAAAATGCTCATGAGGTGCAAAGTTGTGAGAACCTGCTTCTTAAATTGGAAAAACTGATATTATAAAAATGTAAATTCTCACTTTTATTTCTAAATTTAGCATGTTCATAGAAAAAAAATATGAATTGGATGAGAGGGTTGGGTAAAACTTGGACAAAGTAGAAGGAACTTAAAATAGCAGTTGACAGACCAAATGAAAGATCCAGAGGTAGATCTAAGAACTTTTTTCTTTTTTTTTTTAAGTCCTTGTCTAAGTTGATTCTAATTCATGTGTCAGAGTAGAACTATGCTCTATAGGGATTTCATTGACCAAGTTTTCAAAAGTAGCTCTCTGGGCTTTCTTCCAAGCTACCTCTAGCTTGGACTCAGACCTTCAACCTTTCAGTCAGCTGTCAAGTGTATTAACTGTTTGCACCCCAAAAACTTAATTTAGATAGACAGAATTTTAGTAGGAAGAAAGATTATTGAATACATAGTATAGAGATAAATCAAGATCACAGTGGGGTTTTTTCCTAGAGACAAATGGGTAAATCTGTTTTAGATAAAATAAAGATCTTTAAGTTAAAAAATGAACCAATAAAATAAAAAGAACAATTTAAGATGTTCTGGTTTTAGAGTTGGGAAAGTCTTTCTAATAAAAACAACAAAATTCTGGAATCCTGAAGAGGAAAAATCGTTAAATTGTTCTCATATAAATTTAAATTTTCTACATGTAGAACAAATACCATAAACAGACAACTGACAAATTATAATTAATTTTTTTCATTCCATGTGACACCAAAGTTGTTACCTTAATATAAAAGAGATTTTACAAATCAGTAGGAGCAATCAGAATCCCAGTCATAGGATATGAGCAGTTCATAAAGAAAAAAGAAACTGCGGATGAGTCAAAAATTATTTGTAATCTGGGTGTAGAATTTATTTTAATCAACTTTTAGAAGAGACAAAAACATCATTTTTCAACATAATCTCCTTGCCTTTTAGTATACTTAATCCATCTGCCAACAGGCTTTCATATTCCCTAATTAAAGAATGTTTTAGGCTGGGCCTCACTTCATCAAAGGACTGCTTTCAGGGAATCAAACCAGGTGAAAGTCCAGTGGAGCAAGATCAGGACTATAGGGAGGGTGCTAATTTACCACCTCAGAATGAAGGTTTTGCAGCCTCAACAGTGTGGACAGAAATGGTTGGATGTGCATGTGTCATGCAAGAACACAACACCCTTGCATAGCAGTCCTCTGCTTTTAATCCAAGTAAAGGCTTCAGCTCTTCAGTGAGCATGTCACTGTAATGAGAATAAGCACTGTTGATTGTTGGACTCTTTTCCTGATCGTGTTCCAATACTGGCCCTTGAGAATACCAGAAAACTGTAACTACCAATTTTCAACTGATGGTTGACTTTTGAACTTTCTCTTGGTTGGCAATTGAGGATGTTTCCATTCTATACTCTGCCGTTTACTGTCAGGCTCATAGTGAGGAATCCATGTCTCATCACCAGTAACTTTTTTTTTAAACTTTTACCTTTCTTCAAATATTGTTTGCAGATGTTCAGACAGTTTTTTATGCTCTTTCATGAGTTGTTTTGGTACCCATGTCACACACTTTTCCAAACCCAAGTTTGTCATGGATTATTTCACAGGCAGAGCATGGTTGATTTGCAAATGATTTGGCACATAATCCACTGTCGCTCATCTATTAGAAATCATTTCACTTGCACACTCAATGTTGTCATCAGCCGTGGGTGGTGTTTTAATATAACCAGAGTGCAGATAATTTTTGACTCACCCTCATACAAGTTCATTTTAAATACGTAAATTTGTTCCTCAGATAATTATGACAAAATTTAATGAGATTATTTTTGTCCACCAGATTAGCAAGGGTTTGGCGTAATCAGCATTCATGTTGCTGGTAGAAAATAAGTTTTAAAACTTCTCTGTGGAGCTTCACAATTTAAAATGTATATTCCCTTTTGATCTTTAAGAGTGTAGGCTCTCTAGTCTGAGTGCCTGCATTAATACCCATCTTCACAATTTATTAGCTCGTAACCTTGGGCAAGTTCCTTAGCTTCCCTGCTGTACTTCTCTTACTGTAAAATTGTTGTCTTAATAGTAGGTATATTATCTTGGTGGTATGAAATTTGATTGATTGATACAATAGAGTGTTTTAGAAATAGTAGGTACTCAACAAATGTTAACTGCTATTTCATTGAGCAAGTAAATGTTCATACATGAGTGCAAAAGATAAATACAATGATCTGTAGCAGCATTATTTGTAGTTTTAAAAAAATGGGAATCAACCTAATCTAGCCTTTGATTAAATGATGGAACATCAATATAGTGGACTCTATCTTTAAAATACAGATAGTTCAACTTTTAGAAGAGACAAAAACATCATTTTTCGACATAATCTCCTTGCCTTTTAGTATACTTAATCCATCTGCCAACAGGCTTTCATATTCCCTAATTAAAGAACATTTTAGGCTGGGCTTCACTTCACAGTTCTGTCTGTATTTTAAAGACAGATCCCACTATAGTACATTGTTGTTGTTAGGTGCTGTTAAGTCGGTTCCAACTCATAGTGACCCTGAACTGGATTTCCGAGGCTGTAAATCTTTACGGGAGCAGAAAGCTTCATCTTTCTCCCACGGAGCAGCTGGTAGTTTCGAACTGCTGACCTTGCGCTTCGCAGCCTGATTCATAACCACTATGCTACCAAACTATAGTACATAAAAGTGATGAAAGTATATACATATTTTCTTCATGAAATATTTCTGGGATGAAAGAAAAGAAAAACAGCAAAAGGGTGTTAATGTTGCCGTAAGTGCCTATGAGACCTGGTGTGGGGCTGAAGGGTAAGCATTGGACTGCTAACCGCAAGGTTGGTAGTTCAGAACCACTAGCCACTGCTTGGAAACCCTATACAGGGTCGCTATGAGTCAGAACCAACTTGACGACACTTCACAACAACAACATAAGCACTTGGGCGAAATTTAAGTGTTTGCTACATAAACTTTTTTTTTCTTTATTGTGAATTATTTGATAGTTTACATGGCAGAACATTAGCTTTACATTCATCATATTCTATATCATCATTTCATTGCCATGGTTGCAATCCCCTCCATGCATCATCAATCAATCAAAGGGTATACCCTGCAAGCCTTCCCCTGGTCTTCAGCACATAGCCCCTCTCCCTCTAGCTGTTAACATCTCTTCACGTCATCGTGTCTGCCTCTGTCACTGGCATCACTGCTTCTCTGGATAGTGTCCTACACTCTGCTCTTCTCCCTTGATGGTCCCAGGGTCTTCCGCTCCTGGTCTGCAAAGTCAACCACTCCCCTCCTTTTGCTACAAAATGTCTACCTTTACATTTCCAACCCTCACAGCCAAACCTGATAACAGTTATTCACTATTGTATCACAAGAGACCTATCCCCCTCTCCTTTCATCAGCCCCGCCCAGCCAGATTAGATACTACTCAGTGGAGATTGTACCTTCCTCTGTGCCCTCTGGATGTAGGCTCCCTCTTGAAAGCTTGTAAGCCAGTCACTTCTTGCCTTTGTAGCCCCCATTTTGGGTAGCCAATGTTCAAATTTCCCATCCCTGTCTACCCTGTATATCGAGGGAGTGGGAATGATCCTTGCTGTAAAGATTTGTTCCCTCTTTTGAGCTACTGTATCTACAGGCGTAGGTCAAGTTCATCAAATTGTATCAGATTACTCTTTTTTTCCTCTTCTTTCTTCTTCTAGTTGAGTTCTGATCATCCAGCCATTGAAGCCAGGTCGAGTGGGTATTACCTGTAAGTGTGGGTGTTCTTGTGCATATGCCCTTATTTCTTATCAGCTGGACACTCCACTCTCCACTCTAGTCCTCTGTGGCTATGTCACTGACTGGGCCCAAGAGTCCCCAGGTCTTGCCACACTGCTGGCCAACCAGGTCTCCACCAGGGTTTACAGGAGTCTGTTGAAAGTTGTGGGGCTTAGCTAGCAGCTTCATTGCTGTTTTTCCTTTACTACCCCTTATTGGTGACGAACGTGGTCACCAGTCAGAGCGCATGTCTGCTCGTGTATTCCCATTGAGTCTTAGTCTTAGAAAGGGGTTTGCCCTGAGGGATCCAACTGCTTTCCTTGATGTCTCCTGGGCGAGCAACTTACTTGTTGTAGTTGTCAGTCGGACTGCCTTTATTGTTTTGTATTTTTCCTGTAGGTCTTTCTTTCAAGAAGTACCTTTCGTTCTTCTAGTTGCTCCAGGCTGGTCTGCTTGTCCTTTCAAGTGGAAATTTCCTACTTCAGAAGATTCTGGATGGGGTTCAGGATTCCACCTGTTGTCTTATGTATTGCAGAGGCTCCGCCGGAAGCCTCCTTCACTGGGCACATTGTAGCCCCATTTTAGTTATTCCAATCAGTTATAGGCAGAAGGCGGATTTACAAGCTTTCTATGGTGATGTTTCTGGCTATTCCTTTCTCTTCCCCTCCAGTGTCTGTTTTATAGTGGTTTGCAAGGGAAACCAAGATTCAAAAGACAGCCAAGGATCTTAACATTGTTTCCCCCCTTTTGTCCATTCTGACCATACCTCAATCCCTGTATCCCAGTGTCCTGTTGTTCCAAGGTTGTGCCTACATCATTATATACCTCTGTCTCACTTAGCCCATGCAAACCTGTCTAATCATTCTCCCATCCGCTACATATACTTTTTTTTTTTTTTTAAGGTTTTTATTGTGGATTGAGTGAAAGTTTACAGGGCACATCATCAGTTTCACATTCAACCATTCATATGACTTGTTTCATTACATTG